CGGGGCAAGCGGAAGCAGGACATAGCCCCTGTGGCTCCCCGCACTGGGGCAGAGGTTGGCACAGAAGCTTGCATGGCTGCCCTGCCCAGCCTCACCCCCCGCCCGGCCTAGCCTCCCAGCACTTAAAAACAAAACCTAAACAAAACACAAAAAAAAAGGCCCCACACTCACCGGCTGCAGGAGTGGTGATTGGGACGTTGGGCACTTGTGGCAGACCGCCCCCACCGTGCAGCATGGGGCAGTGGGGAGCAGCAGGGATCACCCCCCCCCCTTGGCACCCGTGCGGTAGCTACCCCATGGCACGGGTGCAGCACAGCTTGGCAGGGCGCTGCACGCTGTCTGGGAGCTGGGGCTGAGCACTGCTGGGCTCTGGGCGAGTACAGGGCTTTTTTTTTTTTCCCTCTAAGTGCCAGGACTAGGCTGGGGCTGAGTGGAGGATGGGGCCGGGCAGGGCAGCCATGAGGGCTTCTCCCACGTCTCCCCCCTGAACCTGGGGAGAGGCAGACGCAGCTGGAGGATCCATGCGAAAACCTGCAGCCACCTGGCTGTGCCTCCCTTTCCCTGGCCAATCCGAATCACCAAATCTCTCCAAATCAATGCTGAATCTTCCAAAGCTGATTTAGTACAGTGATCCAAATCTCCAAATCGAATCACTGTCCTCTGAAAGGGCCAAATCTGAATCAAATACTTCCCTATTCACACAGGCCTACTAGCAGAGCTCAATGCGTGCACACACATTCCATCCTAAAACAAGATATGGACACCAAACACTGGCTTTCCTCTTCACAAATGTTAATACCAAGATTTGAAAGAATATGACTCTGATCACTACCTAAGAATTTTACTTTATTTATTACCAGTTCAAATGTTAATGGAAAAGAACTTTAAGATATCAACTGAGTATCTCAGATTTTTTTGGAAGAAATGTTGACAAAAACCACATAAAGAAAGCAATTCTCCACTATTAGCCATAAAAAGGAAAAGCCCTGATTGACAACACCCTGCCCAGCCAACCTTTTCTAAATAAGTAAGTGACCCATTTAATTGATTTATAAGAAACTAAAGTACCTGGATTATTTTATCTCCAGGGTGCAACAGTTTTGATGCTGGTCCTTCAGGTTGTACTCTGGTTACAAATATACCCTTTAAAAACAAATAAGGGAAAAATAATTTTCGCTGCAATTTATTTGAAGTCAATATAATTTAAGACGTTTGATTTTTCCATATTTAGAAGAAGAGAATGTGAAATATTTGAATTCTGTATACTTACTAGTTTTTATGACTAACACCTTACATGCAGCAGAACTACATTTATTGGCAAACTGAATGGCATTTTTTCCCTATCCAAACCTCCTTTGTTTAAGCTGGCATATGTGCACTGTTGCAGCATCTGTACAAGCAGGGGCATGCGTTTGCAGCAGCAAAATAGTGGCACTTTGTGCCGCTACTTTGTGCTGCAGTGCATACCCCTGCTCCTGTGGTTTGCAGCGGGACACATTGTCCCACTGCTCCACGTGCTGCAGGGGGGGATGACTGGGGCACAGGGTGCCTCAGTGCAACGCTAGCCAGCAGGCAGCCCCTATGCTGAGGCACCCTGTTCCCCAGCCAGCCAGAGAGTGACCCAAGGCTGCCTGCTTTCCTGTATCTGAGCACTGTGAAGTCCCGGCACTGAGGCATGCCGCACCCCAGCCAGCCACGTCCTTAGATCCCGCACGTCTGGATCTGACCTATGTGGCAAGATAGAATTTTAGCTTATAGCATCCCTTCCTTCTGTTGGATTTTGTAATAGTCAGTTCCATAATTCACTAAAGGACTATACTGCTAGATATTTTTAACATCCTGCCATAAACCGGATTTGAACTGTCCCCTCCACTGTCACTTGGCTACGCTGCACCTTACCCTTTCCCACTTCCTTAGCACCTCTACCTTTATAACATTCCCTCCCCTATCTCTCTTCCTCAACAATAGCTTTTTTCCCTTTTTCTTTCTTTTTTATTATTATTATTATTATTTTTTAATATTCTGCCCCATTCTTACCATATACTTCTTCTCCCTCACTTCTGTATTTGACTCTCCCTCACAATCTCAGCAGCTATATTTAATTTAATGTTTGGTATTTTTAAGTGTTGCTTTACATGCTGCTTTAAGGATAAGAGAGATTTTAAATAGGTGAATATATTAAATACTCACATCATCATCAGGTCTGAACGGATTTCCTCTACCGCCAACTCCTCCCGATATACTAAATCCAAGCTCTGGATCTTTTTCAATTCTCACGCAAATCTACATTGTTACAAAGAAAGTAAAAACAACTGTGCTGAAAGTTCAGATGCAAAAAAATGGATATGCATGCAGATATCACATAATATTTAATCATTATGATTACGTAATCAGCGGAATCATGACCAAAAAATAAAGTGACAAAAAACTGATTTCTAGCTTACTATTTTTACCATTTGCATTTTTAAACACACACAAGGAATCTTTCAACAGAACAGCAGACATAGATCATAAAAATCTGAACTAAGAAAAACAATAAATTTCACTCTCAGCACTCCTATTAATATTCAGATACTTTGATTGAAATAGAGTCTTCAAATAAAGATAAGCACTTACTAAAAAGACTACTGCAGTTCAAGAGAAATCATATCTCAAATACAGATTCTAATAAAATGTTCTAGTATAACAACATCTTAAAACACAATTCATAACTAAACTGGGTAAGTTTTATGATGTATTATTATTTAATCAGACACTGCCACATATATTAAGTCTAAGCCCAGAAATATTGAGGTGTTAAACAAATAATTTAATTGCCTAATTTACGTAGCTAACAAACACACGTTACCTCAAATATATAAACAACTCCTCCCTATCCCTTCTTCATTGATACTTCAAGTTGAATTCCACTAATTCATAGCCTGTTTTCCCTCTGAGTTTCCTACAGCTAACCCTGTCTCTCCTGGCTGGCTGGAAAATAAAAATGTTGTTTTTGAAAAGTATGTTTCACTATTTGTTTTCATTTGGTATTAGGACTAGAGACAGACCACTTTCAGTACTCTGGGAAAAGACAGTGAATAAAAGCCAATAACCTAAGGGTTAGGCACTCAGCTGGCATGTGGAAGTGACAGTTTAAAGGTCCAGGATGGAATAGCAGCGACTAGAACCCAAATGTTCCACAACCCAGGTAAATGTCTTAACCACTGGGCTAGAGATACTCTCTTGCTGGCTTAATGAATATTTATTCATGCATAATTTAAAGTGGACCAGTCCCAACAGGAGAGGTAAAGAGGGGAAAAGTGACCCTATAGCCTAGTAACTCTGTAGTTAAAAAGATGTCAGGTTTTCCCCATTCCCATGATCCCCTGCTTCCCACAACTTACAATGATTGCAGAGGATGTGCCTTGAGCTCAATCTCCAGGCTAATTATGATCACAAAATATGACTCAAGTGACTGCTTACATGCCACCACTTTATCCAGAACACTACCACCTGGTGCTCTTCATGAAACCTCAGGCTGTGGGCAGATTGGGGCAATGTTTTAGACAGATTAAAGTCTTGAAGAACACTCAATATCCCAGAATACTCTCTCAAAACCCCTGCTGTTCCAAGGGGATGCATCAAAGCAGGTGACTGGAAAGAGGCACCAGATATAGAAGCTTCCCACCTATCTGGAAGATTGCACAGCTTTGAACTGTGATTCAGAATCTGATTTTCCTAGGCGAGGTCAGAACCTACTGAGGAAAAACAATTCCTCAAGTCTCAAGTAGCTTTTATCAAGCAGCTTGCAGCTTTTAACAGTCAAAACACAGGAACTGCTTTTACTTTGAAAGGGGGTGATGGAAAGGTGTTCTCCATAAAGGGTCCAACCCAAATTTTGTTAGTCATTTGGGTATTCTGCAAAATTCACCTTATTCTACCCTTGGTTTTTGATGAGGAACACTCACTATTAAATATTCATGTTATTTTACCATTCTGGATGAATAGTGCTAGTCTAGATAGTCTCATGCGGACCATGTATATTTTGATTTGAATGACCTTTTCTGTATTTTTTAATGATTGCATAAGCATGAAAAGCCAATAGACTGAGAAGTAATTCACATCTTAGTAGAAACAGCCTAACTGAAAGCTTGACACGCTTCGGATAAAAGCATGAACATGTTTAATTCTTTGTAATAATTTGTATATCTAAAGAAAGAGAACAAAGAAAATCAGACTAAACGCATGATTTGGGGCCATTTACAATGTTTTTTCTTTCTCTTTTTCTCTCTCTCTTTTTTTTAAAGAGTGTAATGACAGAACTCGGATATAGTAGCTCTTTTGCTGGGAATTAAACTACAAATGATTTCTGTCATTATACATTCAGCAATAGTAGTGAATAATAATAATACCACCCAGTACTCAGTTACTGATGGATGGAAATTATATATAATCACTCATTAATAACCTATCCTCATGGCTGCAATGCATGTCATGTTTATCCTTACCTCTTGTTTTGCCAATTCATGCCCTTGTCTGGGAGAACATTGGGGCTGAGAATAGGGAGGCTGATGGGCAACTTTCAGCATCAGATAATCAATTAATTGTTCTCTAGAGGGATGTCTTGCCACAGATGCTTGGGGAGGGGGATGATGGACTTGACTATAGTTTGCCTGAGGCCTCAGAGGCTGGCACATCTGCCCATTTGTCAAAGGTATCTGAATAAAACATGAAGCAATTTTAAATAACATTTTTATAAAAACAATCCTCAAATTGTAGACAATTATTTTATCATTTCCCATGTTTGACTTTTTAGAGCATTTTTATGAGCATTACTAAAACTCAATGTCATACCATGTACTACTACATTATATTTTCAGTATACTTATCAGCACTGACTTGGGAAGAAAATCTGAAAAGCAAAACTTACTCTGCATTCATCTGCTAGAACAGACTAGACAACCTCCTCTTTGCTTTTAACCCGTTTCACTGTAATTCATCTCAAGTTTTTGGCAATACATTTAACAGAATTGCTATTTGGTTTATATCATTAGAGTTTACAACTGCTTTGTTGTACACTATTTACTGGATTTTATTTAAAAAAATCAGGTTCTAAATAATTCATACACAAAAAGTTAAGATAATTAAATGAGGTGAATACTATGCAAAATAGGAGAAAAATAATTTATGCACTTGGTTGTAGTTTTACCTGCCACTTAACAGGAAAACCCCTTCTACTAAAATAACAACAATACAGGAGTTTCACTATTTGTTTTCATTTGGTATTAGGACTAGAGACAGACCACATTCAGTACTCTGTCTCATTTGACCTGAACCTAACTGTCCCAGGGTTTGACAGGAAAACAGGAGCAACACAGTAATTTATTTACATCACTCTTCTAAGATGCATTGCTACTCTTTTGCCAGTAGGTGGCCAGCAAGAGCACACAGCCTGGCTGGCTTGGCCCTGGAATGAACCACAATAACTGTACTGACATACAACAGAACATCTTGGGGAAAAGTGTTGGTACATTTTATCTTGCACACTTCAGAGGGACTTGAAGCGAGACAGTGGACGTATATGTCTGTATGATACTGGGACAAAAAGCTCTCTCCCAGGACAAATGCAATGTCTGTTCACAGTCTAAGGTGCCACCCTGCCATGTATTCTGCCAGATTTCAAACTAACTACAGCTTCATAGACAGGAAGAAATACAATGACCTGATAACAGCAACTTTACCATTACTGGAAATGAGGCAAAAAAAACCCAAACCAGTCGCTTTAAGAACCACAATAATCAGACAGAGATGC